GAATGAACTAAGCTCGATTTCTAGCCGTAGTGGTTTCGGTGCACCCACGATCAGGCACAAACGACAACCTCACGACTGAAACCGAGCCATAGAGTAAACTTAATGACAAATGTATTATATCATAGTTACTATTAACTATGATTATATGCAGAAATACCTACACATACATTTCACTTCAAGTTTACACCATAGCAAGGGTAGTCTCCTTCACGGTTCCCATGTCACACTGAATGAATTATGATAATGACCATAAAAACGAGACGAATGGTGAGCTATATATCTACAAMCTAGAAAAAACTGAACAGAAAAGTTGAAAAGGAAAACGGAAARCACTTTATGACATCTGCCAGGACGATATAAGACACCCCGATGTCTTAAAATCAACAGAAGAATKAACTCACCCTTGGTCTCGTTTTGGTGTTCATTATTATAATTTATTCAACATGGTAGAGAAACCGTGAGATAGTTGAAGAGGACTATTGGCTGAATGTGACACTCAGCCAAACGTGACATAGTAATTACAATGTATGAAATTGACAATTACACTCTTKTTTGAATATAACCTGTTTACATCACATGTTATCAGCTAATTGTGGTTTTAAAACAAATTTAAGACAAAACTCGGCGACTGACTGACCAAACGACCAACCAACCAAACAACCAACAAGCAACGGCCATTAATCAYTTCATCGTTTGAAATATAGGGTCGTCATTAATCGTAAGATAAAATAAGAAAAACAAGAACAAGAAAAGGTTAATTACAAATAAAACACTGAATAAAACTGCAAATTGGTAATTTGAAGCATTAGTGTTATAAATAAAAAAAACGCACCACGAACAACCAAAACAAAGCAACAGCAAGCGCAATATAGAATATGTATATTTCACTAGTTATTTCCTAAATACATAACGGGAAAAACAATGAACAAGATTMTAGGTTTTTCAAAGTATAGCAACCTTTCACGAGCTCGAAACTTTCAGCTTGATAGAGGTTTGTTCTCTACTGCGCAGTCAGCACAAAGAGGTTCCTAACGGCATCTCTATTAGGGATAAGGGCGCTAGTCAACGAAATTTCGCGAGTAGTCAGCGATCTTACGTGAGAGTAGCYTTGATGAAGCTTGGAGGTCTTCATTTAAACTTGGATGCATGCATATTATACTTAATAAAGATGCCGTTATCGGGTAAAAAAGGTCCATGCATACTTGCGTGTTGTCGCTCCAATAGGATCAAAAGCTTATGCATTCTTATTTTTTCCTGAAATACATTACAAACACAACTAGAAAAATGGCTTTTACGTGGACTTCGAATTAAACCCCCCCCCCATCCCCTCCCCCCAACAAAAATATAAAATCAACACGCAAGTCAGTACATTTAAACCCCTTTACAGACCAAATGAAGAAAGCGAGTAAAAAGCTCTAATTTTGCTGATTCGCCAGGGCTGACGTGGGCAATGCAAGACGAAATTTAAACCGCATCGGGTTACTAAATATAGCCCAACCGGGAATTTACATGGTGCGCGCGATAATAAGAGTTTTTCTCTCTTATTTATGCCCAGTTAGTCTCACGTACTTGTCGAATTCTTTAGAAATCGGTCAGCTGCTCGCTTGAAACGCACTAGCTCATCATTCTCCTCAGAGACCTAGACATGCTTGAAACAATGAGCTCTCTTATCATGGATGAATATCACCAACATAACGAGTGCATGGATAAACGACATCCACTGCACTTCCTGTGGTTCACTTTAATTGCGACAAGTATGGAATACGTATACTTTCCCATACAATACGAATTGAAAAGACTATTCAAGGCGCAATTAGACACCAATAGGTTTGATTTTCTTTGCCGTATTGCAACGTGCAGCCCTTTTATAATACTTACATGTCACAATCAAAACGGTTTTGCACTCTGCAGAGCCAAGGGAGTTTGAAGCATTACATGTTATTATTGATCCGTTGTCATTTCTTTTCAAATTTATCAATAATGCTTTTGACGGATAATTGGTGAAATTGTAACGGACGGTGTAGGTAGGTAGAGGGTACGCGGAAGCATTACAAGAGAAATTCCGTTCTTGGCCTTCAACGACGACCAGTTTTTCTTTGCAAATGAACTCTGGTGGATCTAAGTTTAAAAAGAAAAATATTAAGACACCCTTAASGAATAGTGTTACTATTTTAAAGTAAAATAATACACAGTTATATACAAACGGATAAATGGAATGGAAATAGTAGAAAATAGTTCAAAAGTTATGTATTAATCACCGTTTTCAGGCTGACTCAAAACAATTTTATTCAGACAATATATTACTTACACATCACATTAACGACTGTAACATTGTAAGCAGCCCCAAATTCGTTGCTTGCAGTGCACTTGTATTCTCCAGCAACGTATCTTGAGACATTGTATTTTACGAACAGGCTACGGTTTGCGCCTTCGATTGATCTACCATTTAATGACCACGTATAATTGGAGGCTGGATTAGACGAGGTTGTGCAGGTTAGGTTAACGACGCCAAATTCTTTCACCATTAAGTCTTGTGCCGTTATACGTACATAACGAGGCTTATCTGTCGTTTTTTTTTTTTAGGAAACAAACACTATGGTGAGTAAAAAAATCGGAAGAAAAAAAAAATCTTACGAAGTACCAATTTTATCTACTTGGAGAGAAACTAAATTAAACCAAAAGATGATAATAATTAACCTGCTAGTTAGTACCTTTACGTAAAACACCTTTTATACATATCAAATGAAGAGASTGTGCAAAAGTTATTTTTCCGCTCATTCGCAAAGGTAAAAGCTAAGTRGGGTTAGCGTGAGCAGTGCTATTGCAAGTTAAGTTTAATCTTAAGTTAAGTTTTATCTATTACATCCTGCAAAATCGGCTAAGTTAGCGGCTTAATTGAAAGGCGCTTGCTTGAGAGAGAGCTCAGGATAAACAGAATGTTTAAAAGGATKCAAGTCATATAGCTTAACCTGAAGTGCTATGGTTAAATAAACAGCAAYAAGCTGACGTAAATACGACGTAAGATCGCTGCTACGGCGCGCAAGCGTCCCACA